ACTAGCGGGGAATCAGTCTTTTCTTTGCAGTATTTAGATTCAACCCCTTCCTTACCCTTAGAGATTGACTTATCATCTTTCTCGCAGGGTTTAAGAGTGGGTTTTTCGATAACCTTATCACTGCGAAGAGTAGTGACTTATTTGATTTGATCCATGTATTGGCTTCCGAAACTACTTGCATTTGCATTGTATTGCCTCTTGGAATTTTGTTGTGGTTGAGATAGAAACTTACCTTTCTCTTGGAAACTGAGAACATATGTTAATTTTACAAGAGTATCTTTAAAATCTGTCATGCTTTGTGTAAGTTGAGTATTAATTGTCTCTTGCTTTTCAATGAATGTATGCAATGTTTCCTTAAGATTTCTTCTAGAAGGTGGAGCATAAGGAGGTGCATATCTATGAGAATTTTATAAATTATGGTGTGCTTGAAACGATGGTTGTGAAGTTTATGCATTATTATTACTACTCTTCCAACTAAAATTTGAGTGATTTCTCCAGCCAAGGTTGTATGTTTGTGAATATGGGTTATAATTGGGCCATTGAAAACTGTTTAAAACATGGGCTTGTTCATGGTGACATTCCTTTAAAGAAGACAACATTAGACAGTCATTGGTTGAGTGTTCATTTGTTTCACAGATTTGCACATAATATCTTGAACAGATTTTAATTAACCACTCTTTTTTTAATTCTAGTGCCTCGACTTTTCTAGCTAAAGATGCAAACTTGGCTTGGAAGTCATGATCTTCCCTAAGGTTGTACATACCTCCATTATATATATGAGGTTGAGTTTTACTCAGTGCCATATAAGTACCTGCGATGTCCCAATTTTGAACATTTTCAACTAACAAGTCTAAGTACTCCATTGTTTCATTAGGGTTTTTATCTTCAAAAGTTCTATTGCATATTAATTCAACCATTTGCTTATCTCTAGGTGTTAACCCTTCATAAAAATATGAAATCAATCTCCATGTTTCAAAACCATGATGAGGGCAAGTATTAAGCAAGTCTCAATACCTATCACAACATTGGTAAAATGTTTCTCCTAGTTTTTTAGTGACAATGGTGATTTGTCATTTGAAAGAGTTTGTTCTATGAGAACAAAAAAAACTTCTTTAAAAATTGTTGTTACATTTCATCCCAAGCACGAATGGATCCAAGTCTCAAATTTTATAACCATGTTTTAGCTTTATCTTTTAATGAAAAAGAAAAGGCTTTAATTTGATGGTGTTCATACTACACTTTGAGTCATTATACATGTTGCAGACCTCCTCAAATTCCCTTAAATGCAAGTATAGATTTTCTAAATCTAAGTCATGAAAAGAAGGTAAAAGTTGAATAATATTTGGCTTAAAATTAAAATGAGATGCATCAGAGGGGAAAACTATGCATGATGGTGCACTTGTTCTTGTGGGATTTATGTGGTCTCTAAGTGTTCTAACACGGTTATTCTTATTATGAAGTGATTGGTTATCTTCTTCAACCATATTTTCTAAAAATAATAGGGATACCCTACAAAGTCTACCACTTTACATACGTGATCACACTCTCATACACGTGTAGGAATATAATAAAAGGAAGAAGAAAACAAAGAAAAAAGAAACAATACAAAAGAAACAAAGTTGGATACAAGAAAAGTAAAAAGAGAAAATAAAATAAATATTATAATTTGTATAAGAATTTACCTCCCCAGCAATGGCGCCAAAAACTTGACACGACTGTCTTCTCCCAATTGCAGAAGTGTCAAAATAATAAATAACCCGACAAGACAAGGGTCAAACTATAAGGAGGTTGATTATATAAATTATAAATAACGATAATACAACAACAACAACAATAGAAGAAGAAGAAGAAGAAGAAGAAGAAGAAGAAGAAGAAGAAGAAGTTGATGAGAACTTTGAGATGGAAGATCAATAATAATAGAAGAAGAAGAAGAAGAAGAAGAAAAGGAAGAAGAAGAAGAAGAAGTTGATGAGAACTTTGAGATGGAAGATCAATGTGAGGATTAAACAATGATAACAACAAATGTCAAGGTTAGAGGATCAACTAATGGTATTTCAAACAAGTATAGTATAAACTCTTATTATTCAACTAGAAACCACATACAAAGGAGGTTCCAATCAAATTATAAATTATTAACATGATTACATTAGTTATCTTATTCGAATAATGCTAATACTTGTAAATATTTTCAGGCATTCATGATTATAACTTATGTTAACAACAAATCAAGTTCCTTTCATAGTACAGGTGTAGGTTATACTATATGGTTGGAGTATGAAAGTGTCAAGTATTTATTGTACCATGTGTTATACAACATAAATCTAGATTAATCATTTAACAAGCAAAGTATTAAGAGTGAACAAAATAACAAATACAAAACATGTTAGTATCAATTATTAAAGTCGATGTTGAGTTTATACTATACTTATTCTTACACCATTAGTGTAACATTTTCACCTTAACATAATAAACTTAGCTAAACATAATGAAAGAGTGAAACATAAATAAATAAAATAAGAATATAAATAAAATATAAAAGTTAACTAAGTAAAGAAAAGGAAATTAAAGTCGTAAATAAGATATTAATGAAAGCAAAACTTAAGCATTATAAAAATACAAAGAGAGAAAGCAAATGCATGATCTTAATCTAGAAACCAAGATGCCTAAATGCATGACAAATGCCTCCTTTTATAGGCTAAAATTAGAAGCTATTGATTTGATGACTAATTGTTGAGTGGGTGGCCAACTCTTGACTTGGTAACAATTCTTATCTCCTTGTCTACCCAAAACATCATTGATAATGTCAAAATTTAAACCAAACCTCCACATGAAAGTTGTAGAAAATTGTTTCAGCTTTCTAGAAAAAAAAATAAGGTCATTTGAACTTGTAAAACTCAAGATATGGGCTGAACACTGAACAGTTTTTAGGCTACAGGATAAATTCGGACTTCTTCGTTATTACTGCAATGTGGACTTGAAAACGGCCTTTTTAAATTTTGGACTCCCTATGAAATTATAGGCCTATGTCTTACCTTTTCATTCATATAAAGTAGACCTGAATCCGAGATCTACGGCTCTAAATATGATCCAATTACCGAACAGTGTTTCAATTTAGACTGCACCAGCATCTCTTTTCTAAGTTTGACCATTTCTTTGTCCTTTCAATTCAGTACTTAAACTCATCAATCAATCCTTTATTTATATGATAGGCTTGTATATAAGATGAATATTTAACACAAATTAAAAGTATCTTATATTATTAGATATATTATTATAAAACATACTTTAGTTAAAAAGTTATTAATACTTTAAATGCAAAATTATGATATAAAATCTTGATAAAAATATACTTTAAGTAATAATCAGCAATATTATCAGCTATTGTGTTATCATGACATTTAAAGAAGAAAAAAATATCAAACTTGCAAAAATGTTTTCCCTCATTTTCTTTTTCTTTCTCTGACTTTCATAATATATGATTTCACTATTTCCATAAATGATTTTATGCATCAAATTAGAAGGTAATTTACAATGAAGGAAAAGATGCTTTAATGTTGACTTTCTTGTTTTTGTTTATTATGTTTTGGAAAAAACCTATGATGTTTACGGGAAGGGTCAAAGACTCAACAAAACGGTGTGATTACTGGGGTTTTATGGTGAGAAGCCCAACCCAACTCTTCTAGAACCAACTAGAAGACGCCATCACCACCACTTTCTTCTGATTTTAATTTTTGGGGTAGTGCGCTATAGCAGCTTCTTTGAGAAAGCTCGCAAGTTTCACGCAAGAATGGAAGAGAGAACGAAAACGGTTTCAGCCCCAAAATTGAAACGACAACCCCTCAAATCCCCAGTTGATTTTATTGTAACAGCAAGGTTAGTTCTCTTTTCCTTTTTATGGAATTATCCAAAATAAACAAGTCCTTGAATTTTACAAAAGCGTGCATGAAGACACAAGACCTGATTGTTCCGGAAAATGGCAAGGTCAGCTTCTCTTTCCTTTACTCTCCTTCCACGATGCTTATCAAAGTGAGTGCAAAAAGATTTTTTTAGAAATGCGTAGGGACAACTAGAAAAGGTTTAGACTAATTTTTTTTATAAAATATATCAAATAAATATCTTAATTTAATAATTTATACTATTAAATAATATTTTAAAATATAATTTATATTATTATTTAATATACCTTTTTAAATAAAAACTTTTTAAACTTAAAATTTATATAAATCCTCATTCCCTTATACGTAATTATTACTAAATAAATATAAATAATAAAATTTAAACTTATAATTATTTAGTTATAAAAACTTTAATACTATATTAAAAAATTATCTTAACCTATAACTTAATCTATTTTAATCTATAACTTAATCTATTAGATAAAATTTTAAAATTTAATTTATAATATCCTCTAATAAAATATTTACTAATTATTTACTACTTCCTAGAGGGAAAATCTTGCCCTGCATAGAAGCATACGAGTGGATGAATTTTCTTATGGATGTGCAGTTTTTTCTATCAGCAGGTAAATTGAATCTCGTTTTCTTGTTTTTTAGCTTAAATGTTTCCTCTAGCTCCATGCAGAACCAGGAAAAATTCCTGGCCGTGGCACCGATCCAGATATATCACTGATATATTTTCTCAACTCTTTTCCAGCCTAGATTCTAAATTAGTCTCTCTCCTCTCTTCTTGTTCGTTTTGAACTTTGTGACTTCTTACTTTGATCATATTTCCATGAAGACTGAGATTCTATTAGCGAAGAGAGGGTCATAACTTAGTAGAACAGCTGATATTCCTGGTAAAGTCTCTTACTTTGCTTGCAGGATTGCCATGCCTTTGCCTTTGCCTTTGCGGGGGGAGGGCCAATTCCACCTTGACTGTCTTGTTATCTGTTAATATGTCCAAAACGGGCATATATGATTTGCCCGCCTGTTCGTAAACCACCAAAACACAAAGGAAACAGAGAGACAATCAAAGCTTTCAGTCACAAACAGGAGCTTAGGTTGATCCTTGAAGCTTCCAGTTGTAAACAAAAGAAATACTAGCAAGACCGGACAGGATAAAAGATGCATACCGCTCAGAGTTACTAGCTCAACAATCATACAAGGACAATATCGTTTGATCTCAACAACTTATTTGGAATCACTCAGCATATGACGCTCGACAACTAAATGGTAACCACCAACAAAAAAAAAATTATTATAAAAAAGAATTAACACAAAACGACCACGTTCATCCCATGCAAAATGGGCTCAGGTGACTTCGACTAATGTGTCGAATGATAAATCTACATGAAGGAGCATTCCGACTTTCAGGTGCCACGTGCTCGTGGAACATAATTTATTTACAGCAACCTGAGTCAAGGGAACATACTCACCCACGGGCTTCTCAACAGTTAAAAACAGAAATCTACTGAGCCCACTTTCATCAGCTGATGTAATGCAGCCGCAACAATCAAAGCGAAAACTGCATCAGATATATATATATATATTTATAAAAAAAAAAAAACCAAACATCTGCCATGGGAGTTGAGCATTTTCACTGCCGCTGAACCATGCAGTTGCCAAATCATGTGGCTGGAGAAAAATATTTACCACTGGGATTCAGAAAAGCTCTTCTGAATTGAACTTGTTCCACGCTTCCTGTTTTAACAAAAGAAACTCAAATTCAGAGCAGAAGCAAATTTGATTGAAGCAACAATGCTCACACGCTACAAGAGGAGACAAGCAAGGCTTTTCCTTAGCCGGATAGAGATTGAGGAGATACCTTAAGTAAGTCAAACACTTTCTCAGCAACATATTTTTGTTGAAGATTGGCGCCTTTTTGTTGCACTTTATCAGGATGAATGCTTAAGGTTGCTTTTCTATAAACTTTTTTAACTGCAGCAGCAGTAATCAAATCGGTCAAAGAGACAGGCTGCCATCCACATTCAGGCCACAGCACCTGATCATTATACAGGAGATTTTAGCAACGGATAGATGAAAACTATATTTAACTTTAGAATGACCAACAATAAAATAAAAATTCTGCAATTACCCAACAGCTAAAAAAATCATAGAGAAGAAATTTTGTAAAAGACAGTGTAACGATCAAATGACAAGATGCAACAGCTAAAAGTTTTCAGTTTCAATAGGCTAGAAATTGCAGAATCAGTTTTCAGTTTTCAGTTTCAATAGGCTAGAAATTGTTTTAGGAAACACTAATACACTAACCTCAAACAGAGTGTTCCATGGATAACAATCCACAAGGACTGTTATTTATAATGTCAAATGCCTGAAGAGTCAAATCAGTTTTAGGAGAGAGAAAAAAGGCTATACAGACATGAGCAAATGCAAAGCTAGATGTAGAATAATGCTCCCATGTATAAAATGCAATCGCAAAAAAACCTGTGCAATATTGATGCACAAGATAAAAGGATGTGCTTTTTCTTTCTTCTTTGGGGCAAAAGGTATCTATAATGGGTATGGCAAAGCCCACTTATTGAACGCATACAAAAATTATTCTCCCTGTAAGTGTTATGCTGAATATGATAATACAGTATCAGAAAACCAAAAAATAAAAATAACGCACATATTGGAGTGTTGATAGCAGAGCACGGAGATTCCCCTCTTTTCCTGAAGCCCAACGCTTTATCTCAACATCCAATGTTTCAGCAATCCTCTGAAATCAATTTAAACAGTATCAGACATCTAACAATTAGAGCAACAACAACAACAACAATGAAAAAAGAACAAGATGCAATTTGAAACATTTTTCACACTCTTGATATTGGAAGGAACTGGAGAAAATAGAACTATGCTTCAATCAACAACATACAGTTTGTTAAGTTTCTAAGAAATGAAACCTGTTGTGACTAAATTCCATTAAGACAGTTAACCTTGTTTGGTGTGCTGAAACTTGTATTTGCTATTGACATAAATCACAAACCAACTGATACAGTAGAACTGGATTCAGCCTGGTTCACTTCTGGATTTGAGAACCATCAATGGCTTTTTTGTAGTTTAAAATAAACATCACACTTACGCACATGCTTTTCAAACATACATACATGGATTCAAACTCTTAAAGACTCTTAAAGATGACATGGGGGTTGAGGAAGTGGGGGTTAACAATGTTGTCCAAGGCCTGAACATCCAAATGACACCCAAGTCCAGCATAATTGCACATCTTAACTAGTTAGCTACCGCAGCTAGCCTCTTTTGACTCAATTATATGGGTCCGTGTACATCTTGATATGTTTAGCTATTGAACTGTGCTTTAACCACCACATCAATGCATGCACTAGACATTTTGGATTCATCACAAATGGTTTTTGTTGTAATTTTGCATACAAAAGATAACCTATAGATAGCTAGGGCCTACTTCCTGCCATCCCAAGCTGGTTAAATCAAAATGTGACTAGATTTTGACACAACCATCTATCTACCAAAATCCCAGTTCAGGGCAAAATAAAAATTCCATGCTACTGTATATAGGACGTGCAAAATCAGAAAAGATTCTGTAAGAAAAAAGTCATTGAACTCCAAACCCCAACTCCCCCACCACCCTAGCTACCCATCCCAAGGTTTCACCAAAGAATTAAAGACAGCATGAGTGGAGACAATGCTTAAAAAAGGTCCACTGAAGACTGAACCACTTACATGTCTCTCTGCTTGTTCTCTCTGAGCTTGAAGGTCACGTTGATTCTTCTCGGCCAGTGCTTTTGCCTGGACATACAAGCTCAACAATTAAAATCTGTGGAACTAATATGAGTGCAATAATAAACAAGTATATGATGTAACCCTCAATATCGTCCCAATAAAATCATGTCATGCAAAACATACCGCACGCTCCTGAGTCCTCTGATGGCGTTCCAATCGGGCTTTTCGTCTTTCTTCAGTTTCCCCTTCAACCTCTTGGAATTCTCTGGATGACCCAGCACCTTCTTTACCAAGCAGAAATAGTTCAGCCAATTCACAACTAAAGAGAATTATTGTATTATGAGCAAAAATTCTCATGAGCAGCATAACTACCTCCAAAAAGCGAAGTTAAATCATCAACAATATTTATTGCTGAAGAAGCTTTCCTCATGCCAGACGTAGCTCCAACAGACGTCTTCCTAACTGCTTCAGACCCTCGATTGTTTTGGCTATCAGAGAAAGGATCCTGTAATATAGTTTCAGAAAATTAGCCCACTGATATCACAACAAATCAGTGAATGAAAGAGAGCTTTTGGTCCTAACTGAAGTGCTTGCCCTAGGTCTTGGTGCACTGTTTGCTCGAGTACTGAAGAATGATTCAAGATCATTTTCACTCTTTTGATGATTTGCCATCGCAGCAGAAGCAGCCCTTTCTCGAGCCTCGGCAGCAGCTCTTCCCGCAGCAGCTCGTTCAGCTCTGAGTCGAGCATCAGCTTCAGCCCTTGCAAAAGCAGCTCTTTCCTGGGCTTCCCTCTCCCTAGCCTCAGCATTTGCCCTTTCCCGGGCTTCTGCAGCAGCCCTTTCTGCTCTTTCTTTTGCCTCTGCTGCTGCCCTTTCACGGGCTTCAGCTTGTGCTCTCTGCACAGCAGCCCTTTCTGCTCTTTCTCGAGCTTCAGCAGCTGCTTTCTCCACAGCAGCCCTTTCAGCTTTCAGGACAGCTTCAGCAGCTGCTCTTTCACGTGCCTCTCTAGTTGCCCTTTCCACTACTTGTCTGGCCTTGTCCCTTTCTCTCTCAATCTCCCTTGCTCGCTCCCTCTCTCTTTCAAGCCTCCTTTGCTCTCTTTCTTTTTCCTCCCTTTCCCTCTCAATTTCACGAGCTCTTTCCCTCTCTTTCTCAAATCTTCTCTGCTCTCTCTCTTCCTCCTCCTTTTCCCTCTGTTTTCTTTCACGATCAAATCTCTCTTCTCTTTCTTTTAATTCTCTCTGCTGAGCATCTAGCATATCTTTATCCAGTTGACCAGCTTCTTTGTTTCTAGCAGCCTTTAGATATTCCCTCTCCCTCATTTGCCTGATTTTAGCCTCTGCTTTATCCATGGCCTCCTTCATAGCAGCAGAAGCAGCAGCAGAGGAAGTTTTATCCACATCGTCAACAGGTAGAGCATCTGCAAATTCATTATTATTGTTTTGAGTCCTTCCCGTTACAAAGTCCTCAAGTTCATCAATTTGAGAAGTAACTGAATTCCTTGCTGCACGATCTGATCTAGGACTTTGAGAGTATGAAGTGGAATTTTGGAAAGAGGGATACTCATTGACCTTTTTTCTAGAGTTTGTAGAAGAAAAGGAACCTATCTCCGACTTTGATATCCGCGGTGGTCTTGGAGGTGGGGGTCTAGAAGGTGGGGCTGCACTTGTGGGTTGAGTAAAAAGAGGGATTTCAGACACAGAAAGCCATACATCATCTGATGATTCAGAGACCTCTTCAGATCTGGGAGAAGAATTTATTTCATTAGCATTGACATCCACATATGAAGGAGGAGAGGCATTTTGACCAAAAGATTTATGAAAATCTGTTGAAGCAGTAGGCATATTGAATATGACTTCATCAGATTCCTGATAATCATCAGTTGTTTTCTTCTGCGAGCGGCCCCCAGCATTCTCCACAGGATATGTGTCAACTGATTCTTGACTCACAGAGTAATATGAACCACCTGTGCCTGGTCCTGTTCTTAAAGGGCTCCTATTCTCCCATCTCTTGTATGGAACAGATTTCCCAAGATCATCAAGGTCATCTAGATCTTCAAATACTCCCCTCTCTACAGATGAACTATCAACCTTAGTGTTTCCAGCGTTACTGGTTTTACTAATTTCTCCCAAAGGTTCTGTGAACAACCCTGATGATGAAGTTGCAGGGCTTGACGTTGACTCTAGTACTACAAAGGGATCTTCCATCACACCAGGAACTGACCTGGCTGAATTTGAAGATGGCTTTTGGAACAGACCCGACTCGAAAGTTGAACTGTGAAAAATAGCATGGCACTAAAATATCACTGATATTTATACCACAAACAAAAAAACAGAAACAGAATGTCTCATATTAATTGACAGAAAATATGGATAAAATTTTTCTAACTACACATGATTCACAATCAAACAATATTAGTTCTTTTCCCAGAAGCAGTCTAAGTTATGGCTAGACTCCATAGGTTCAGAAACAACTTATTAAGTAGTAATCAATTCCAAAAGAAATAAGGCTAAACCAGTATGCTAATTTGAGTAAACAAGGGCATTCGAGTAAAATACACAGAAATGAAAAGATGACAACAATAGGATGAAAGAAAAGTGAAGACAAGAGCTCTACCTGCTGCATAAAAAACACGTTGATTTCTTTTATTCGCAAACATGATAACTCTCCAAGAAAGAAAAGGTGAAGGAATGAAACCAGCCCCAAAACCTAAATTCACCTCCAAACTCAAACATCATAGCAAATGCATCATTTACTTGTTATGCTGTCTCATATTTCACTTTATAACTGGTTGAAGTCCAGTTATATGGAAGCTACTGTAAAACTAACCATTCCTCAATTTTTCCTTTTGTTTTCCCTTCCTCACGACCAAAATGCTTTACCACCAGATTCTCATTGCTTTTAAGCTCGTTGGGCAAATATTTAGCTTCCAAGATGCAACTTGATGAATATAACCATATAGAAAGTAAACAAACAGCAATGGCTTCAGCTGGCAACTAAGCTTTCTTGAGCATTAATACATCATACCAACGAACCTCTCTAAAATCAACGCAACCATAAAAGCATAGAATGAAATTCAAAGACAACCATGCCAAATAAAAATCTGAAGCAATTACAAAGTAACTGCTAAACAACACACTGTAAATGGTCCACAAGCATGTCATGATTGTAAATGCATTAAGGCACTACGGCGGCGTACCATGACATCAAAATAACAGTAGCATACTTAAATCATCAAAATCTATTGTAAACTCAAAAAGTTCGCCTTGAAAAAAAAAATGCAAAACCACGGTTCACTATCACCTAGCTAAGCTGATAATTACATGCAAATCGAACGATTTGCAAATTCAGAAAGTCAATACCAATCGTCATAAGGTAAGCTAACTGAGCAAAATCACTCAAGTCAAATTACAGAAACAGCAACAACAAAAAATAAAAAATAAAAAAAACAGTACCGGTTAACCGTATGGGAGCTAATGCGACCGAAACCAGGAAGTAAATCATCAAAAGCCGTCGAATCCTTATCCACTCTGCCACTCTCTCTCTTCGGTTCCGTCTCCTTCTTACCTAAATTCCCCAGCAGATCATCAAACGGTGAACTATCTCGCACTGGCCTTCGATGCTGCTGCTTCGGGGGTGAACTGACCGAACCAAACGCATCATCAAACTTAGGGGCCGACGCAGAACCACCCCCAGAAGACGAACTCTTCAACCCAGGCAATCCATCAAAAATATCATCATCGTAAACAGGCTTATCAAAGATCGGCAGCGATGCCGATTCGCGATTCTGTTCCTTGAAAATGGAGTCAAAATCAAATGACGAAGCAGTGGCAGTAGCTCCGCCGCGTGATTCTGAATACTTAGGAGGACCACCGAAGACGTCGTTGAACAAGAGATCGTCCGTGCCGGCTTGATTGTCGAAAAGAGGAGCGGATTTGTGGGAGGAGGAGGATCGGGTGTGAACGGGACCACCGGATCCAAGGTTAAAATTGGTACTGTTACTGTTTGTGCTGCGGGGTGGTGCCATGGGTGCGGATTTTCCTTGGGGTTTGAACCCGAAGTCGCGGGCTAACAAACCGGGGAAATCATCCATTAATTTGAATTAAATCTTTTGTGCCCGTGAATCTGTGGAGGATTTGAATTTTATTCCTTTTCTAGATCCAAGAGAGAGGGAAAGA